TCGCAACCGATTGGTCTCTGATTGTCATCAACTCATCCAACGATACCTTAAACAAGAAGACACAGCCATCGAGTGAGTGGTGTCTGAGTGGTGAGCATTGGATCAATTGATTGGTTAGAAATGTTTTTCCACTTAAAGGCAAACCAGATATCAGTAAAAGACATCCTTTTCTTGAGATTGGATTCATTGAGTGATTCATTGACTGAACTCTTGTTTACAAACTTTTACACAAAAAACGTTTCAATGAATCAAAAGTTTGTCATAAAATTACACAAAATTTAATTTTGGGGCAAATTATATGACAATTAATTTATTAATTATAAGTTTAATCAATTAATTGATTATACAGTATATTGTATCTTGGTCTCAAATATGTCACAATCAAATGAATTAATTTATTAAGAAATTAAAGTTACAATCATTTCTACTGTATACAAGTATCAAGGCACTAAATAAGTCATTAATTATCATCAAACAGTGATTTTGAGATTAAAGATTAATTAAATAATATTTTTTAATAGGATTAATAATTGGGTGATTGTATGAACTTTGTGACCTAGAGTAATTACAGTAATTTTTATAATAGGTTTCAATAAAATTCAATATTATTGTGATTCACGTGAAGAATCACTTTTATTCCTACATTCAAATCGACTCAAAACTGTTATTCGCTATAATTTGTAAGTCTATTCAGTTTTGTCACAAATATTATCACATCAATTGATCCCAAATATCGACTATAACCTCAATAGTAGTGATTGACAGCAATGAGTGATTCAGAGCTATCGCTAGACTCAGACAATGTCTCGCTTTCGGACTCAATTCAGTCCAACGGTTCAGTGGCCGGAGAGGACTCCAAGAAGTGTGAAGTCATAGATATGTCGCGTTGGAGGGACCAGACGCTCACCAAACAGGTGGTCTGGAAAGGCAAGGGTTGGTCCACACCTATGAATGGCAATGAGGTGTCCATCCATTATGTGGCCAAACGAGAGGACGGCTCAGTGTTTGACTCAAGCCGTCAGCGGAACCAAGTCTTCACGTTCACTGTCGGCCGCAGACAAGTCATCAAAGGTGTT